TCGGCTGCATATCATCAACAGGTGCGTCGTTGTTTGGAGCCACATACCGCCGTTTCCGCGGGGATGGCCGCGACGAGGCGTGAATGACTTCAGGTGGAATCGTTGGGGCCGCGTAGCCCACAGTAACTTTAGGGCTTGCAAACGCGTCCCATTTGCTCATGGTCCACAGCAGGTAAAGGCTTTGTTTGGAGAAAGGTGATTTTTTTTTTGTTTGCGTATATGTGTATGTGTGTGTGCACGTACAGGGTAAGAAAGGGGTAGAGCGGCGGCGGGGACGCCGCGCGCACGGCGCCAAAGGAGAATCACAAGAGAAGACGCGTCAACGGACGAGAGCGTCTAGACACAGAGCAGAAGGGACAGAGCACTGGCGAGGAGTATGGGTTCTACGCTGCACAAAGGGTATTGGACTGCTACACAGGAAGAGTGAGGAGGAAGAGGAAGAGCAAACGAAAAAAGGCCAGGAGAAGTGATCGGTAGAAAAGAGAGAAGCAACAGAACAAGGAGTAAGATCAGGTGCAACTGAAGGAGGGTAGACACAGATTTGTAACGTGGGTCAGCGCAGTGTGCCCTCGGCTGCCTGTCCCGCTCCCATTTATCTTCATTTTCCCATTCCCCTTTCCCTCACCCACCCACGGAGCGGGACGATCATTGCGCCAGCGCCGGTATTTCACACCTTGCTAGTCAATATCTATCGCAATGAACTCATTCCGTAGTGGTATCGAAATGAAATATTGAAACATAACGAAAAAAAAAATAGCTTCCTATCAGCCTGGAACACCCGGTGAGTAAAATGCAGTACTGGTCTTTTTTTTTTTCAAACCGCTACATTTACACCACTTGTCTCGTTTTGGTTGTTTCCTGTTCCTTTCATTGGCATACGGCAGCTAGCTCAGCTCAAGTTGATTCATATCTGTTACGGTCTCTTTTCCCCCCTCCCTCCCTTCTTTTCCTGTTTGGCCCTTAGGGCCTTTTTGTTTACCATTTAGCTTTCCATAACACACACACACACACAGAGAGAAAGAAAAATGCCGCTTCGGAGTCAGTGGCATATGGATATATCGTCTTCTTCTTTCTTATATCAACCCAAAAAGTTTTTTTTTCCCTTTCAGACCCGCTCCGCATGCTAAAAATAAAAATAAAAATAAAAATAAAAATAACACCACCAGCATCAACACGAACTGCGGTACATTTAGTCGCGCAGCAGAATGTCCTCCAGTGTTGGCTGGGTGGCGCTGACCTGAACCACCGGTGGAAGGTCACTCGCCTGCCCCTCACGTATCGCCGCTGCGATGCTGCAGATACGAGTGAGGCTGTGCCGCACCAAAAGTGTGACAGTGCGGCCCACCACACTCTCCACGACACACTCCTGCTGATCCGCATCCTCGCCCGAGACAAAGCACCCACAGAGAGACTGCGTGATGTTGCTCTTCGATTGAAGGAGGTCGCTCTCGCCGGCGAATACGACACGCACCGTGTATACAGCGTCGTCGGTGAAGCGCGACTTGAGTTCCTGCGGCGTGCCGACGCAGCGGAGCCGCCCCTTTGCGATGAATGCCACGCGGTCAGCGAGCGCTTCCGTCTCGTCCAGCAGGTGTGTCGTGAGAATGACGGACTTCGACTTCGTCAACCGCTTCACCACCGCACACGTCTGCCGCCGCGCGTTTGCGTCCATGCCGGCGGTCGGCTCGTCCAGCAGCACACTGGTGGTGCCGCCGACGAGGGCGATAGCGAGCGACAGGCGCCGCTTGTTTCCACCACTCAGCGAATAGGCGGGGCAGTGCTGCACCGGCGCGAGGCCCAGCGCAGCCAGCAGCCGCGGGATTTCGCACTGCAGACACGCATCGCTGGCGCCGCGCAGGGCGGCGTACAACATGAGGTGTTCGTAGGGCGACAGCTTGTCGAGCAAGGCATCCTTCTGCGGGCAGTAGCCGACGTAGCTGCGAGAGGCGGAGCGTAGCACAGAGTAGTGGTTGATGAACGCCGACCCCGACGTCGGCACCACCTCGCCTGTGAGAACGCCGACCGTTGTAGTCTTGCCAGCGCCGTTGAGGCCCAGCAGACCCATGATCTCACCCTTTTGCACGCCGAGCGACAAGTCACTGATGGCGGGGCGGTTGCTGCCGCGGTAGCGCTTCGTGACGTGCTGCAGCGCAATGCAGTCCTCCGGGCGACCGCCCTCCTCCCTGCACACCTCCACCACCTCGCGCACGACAGACTCGTCAACGCTGGCGTTGCTGTCGTCGTCGTCGCCAAGAGCGGCGTGGCCACGTGAGTCGCAACGTCGCCCGCCACTGCAGCAGCGGCACGAAAAGCGAGCAAACACCCACGTCAGTCGCTGCACACGCGCGACCTCCAGCAACACGAGGACGAGCAGCGAGACGGCGAAGGTGCACGACATGTAGATGAGCCCGGTCCCGATGCCGCCCTTGAACTTGCCGTCCACGAACTCCAGCAGGTCGAAGAGGTTTGGCCGCGGCCGGTCTGGCATCATCAGGTTGCCCAGCTCCACGCCAGACAGCGTGAACATTCCCTCACCGAAGGAAACGGACGGAATGGCGCGCAGAATGTACGTCGTGTACAGCATAAAGTTTTCCAGCCCATCAATCCCGCCAATGATCTGCTCGCCCATTACCCACAGGAATCCAAGAACGAAGTTCGCAATGAGCACAACGTTCTGCGCGACAAATGGGGAGTCGAAGAAGAAGCTGATGACGTAGCTAAATGGAATGGAGCTCAGCCCGAACATCGAGAAGAGCGCGAGCGTTGCGCCCACTGTTTGAGAATCGCCAACAAACTCCGTCCTCTTAAAGATAACGAAAATTGACATTGCGAGCGCCTCTGTCACAAGGAAGCAGAGGAAGTCAAACAGCATCGAGCTCAGCCAGAAGGCAAACACGTTGGCACCGGCAAGCCATTGGAGATGGCGGGAACCGCTCTGGTTCTCTCGAACCATGAAACTGACCGTGTTGCTCGGTATGAACGTAAACGGCAGAAGGATGAAAATGCCACAAATAACGCGGCGAAGCGCCCCTACCATCTTTTCCTCGTGCGGTCCCATGCGCATGGGTTCGTTCCGCGCCGTCATTGTAGTTCCCTTGCCAAACAGCTGGTTGTTGACAACATTGTACAGTGCGTTCAATGCCTGCGGTGCCGCGTGTGGGGCCGAGACGTTGTGCATGATGACAGAAACCGGCACACCCACCTTGCCCTCCTCACTCGTTAACGACAGTGCAATGTGGCGGGTGGCGGAATGGTTCATCACGTCCGAGATCATCGCACCAGAGAGCGGGATGCTGCACTTTGCCCCGTTACACGCGACCCTCAGAGGTGTGTAGTACGGTCCAAATACTGCAGACAGGTTCTGGCCGTCAACGCCAAACACGTCGGGGAGTGTGTCGGATCTCGTCCACGTGACCTCTGAGAAGGGCGGTGTGTTGTAGCTGTTGTAAAGCGATGCGTCCAGTGTGACAGCAGGCTGCGACGGCGGGTTGACAAGATCAATGAGGAGAGCAACGCTGAGGAACACAATCGGCAGCAGAACCTGAAACACGAGAAGGCGGACGTCACGCTTGGCGCAGTGCACACGCTTCATGAAGAGAGCTGCAAAGTGCGTGGCGAAAGACACCGCACGATGCGAGTAATGTGCCTTTTGGTCATAGGGTTCTGTCATCATATCCCAGTCAACGCCATAGTTGTCAAAGGTGCTGTTGTCGTACGAAGCTTTCTCGCCGTCGACCGCCGCACCAAGAAGCGACTCCTGTACTTCATTACCTGCGATCTGGATCGAAATCCCCTGCTCCGCGTCTCGCCCCCTGCACAGTTCGTTGTCGCTACCCTTCCTTGATTTCCCTGTCTCTGTTCCCTCGGCTACTGCTGCTGCTGCTTCCGGTTGGCACGATGCTGAAGTCTGAGAGGACTCCTGTTTCCGCTCCGTTAGGGAATCAAGCACATCCTGCAATGTTGTGAGGCTCAGACCGATACTGTGCAGCCGCAGCTCACCCCGCCTCGCCTCGAGCTCGCGAATGATGGTGGCACCCGCCGACGAAAGCAGCGAGAGGGGGAAGCGGAACGATATCTCGCGGCCGCGGCGCTCGATACCAAGCAGCTTGCACTGCGGTGGGATCGGCTGTACCTCTCTGGGGGTGCCAGGGCAGTGGCCAGGGAATGCCTTGGTGCGAACGAACTCCGTGAGGCGGCTGATGCAGACGCTCTCCTCCATCTCGGAGAGGCACGAGTCCACAACACACGTGACGATGTAGCCGGCGCCCGTCTTGGACTTGAGAAACAGCGATGAACCCGCGCCGCGCAGCACGCCGTCTTGCATCAGCAGGATGCGATCGCCCACGCGGTCCGCCTCATCCAGCAGATGCGTCGATATCATCACCGTGCGTGTGTTGCGGCCGCTTTGCAGCGCATCGTAGACAGCCTTGCGGCCCCGCAGATCCATTCCGGCTGTTGGCTCGTCAAGAAACAGCACCTCCGGCTGCCCAACCAGCGCGATGCCGACGCAAAGACGACGACGCTGCCCACCCGAGAGGCTCCCCGCGCTGCTGTGCCGTTTCTCCTCCAGCTGCAGAGCGGCAATGATGTTGTTCACCTGTTTCTGCACATCCCAAGCGTCGCCGCTCTTCATGCGGGCATAGAACGTCAGGTGCTGCTCCACCGTCAGCCTCCCCCACACAATGTCTGTCTGCGGACAGTAACCAATGTGCCTCTGGCACCGTGAGAGGTGGTGTGCCGCGTCGTGACTGCAAATGTACACATCACCCCTCGTCGGCTTCACCATGCCGGTGGCGATGCCCATCACGGTTGACTTACCAGAGCCGTTGGGCCCTAGCAGCACGTTCACTTGTCCCAACTCCAGCTCGAAGGAAACTCCACGTACTGCCACGCAGCGATCCCCGTCACGACGGATTCCTGTGATGAAGTGGTAAATCCACCCAATCACACCTCCGGTGTAGTACACCTTCCACAGGTTGCGGAACACCGCGACAAAGCGTTTATTGTTGATTATGTCGTCGTCTGAAGGCCGTGAACGTCGCTGTGGTAGTGCATCCATGGGGGCGGACGCAAAGTCTTCATCAGTGGTGTTCCCCACCGTTCGCTTTGACTTTCTCTCCCCGCTGTCGTCGCTGCAACAGCAACAGCAGAAGGAGAACAAACGGCGCAGCGGTGCAAGGAAGAAGAGCGGATGGCGGCGGCGGCCAATCGAGGACGGTACCACTTGATCCAGGTATGCCCACAGGCACAGCATCAGACCCGTCGACGCCCACATCATACCAATCGCCACTGCCACAGAATACTCGCCCTCGCGCACATCCGCCCATGAGAATGAGTGGTCGAAAGAGGCACTTGTGACGAGCCGGTTGAAGGCCTCGGAGTAAGCCACACACGGGATGATACTCACCGAAATGAGTCGCGCTGTGCTCATTCCCTCAGGGAAGGAATAGAATGGTATGCTGCAGAGAAATATTGTTAATGCCGCCACCGCTCCAGCAGCACGTGGGTTATTAAAGAAGGTACTCAGGAAGAGACTGAGGGCGCTGTTCTGCTGCATGAAACTGAAGTAGAGGAAGAACAACACCCCGTAGTTCACGTAGTGGAAGAAGCTGATGCGGAACATCATGGCCACGAGAAGCGAGGCGACAACGTCGGTGAGAAGGGCGGAGGTGTACCACCCAAGGGCCATGCACGACCAGCGGAGACCCATAATGTGCATTGACTCCCGAATTCGCATCGACTTCTCCTCGACAATAGAGCTCACAAGTTTCGCGACGGGAAAGAGAGCAGCGAGCATTGCCACGAGCGGCATGAAGTACGCCCATTTCGAGTAGAAGCTGTTGTTACTGTACGGCGCAGCGGGCATTGGCACAAGCGAAGGTCCATAAAGACTGGCGTACTGAAATATCCCGGAGGCGTTTGCGTCTCTCATTGAAACGGCAGCCGCGGTGTCGTGGTTGATGCGGCGTCGCGCGTAGAACTGCTGTACTGCGTTCTGCAGCGTCAGGAATCCGCTCGTCACGTACAGCATGTAAGTATTGTCCCCAAGGCCTTTGCTGAATGGGAGACTGGAGTCAAACGTCCACGGCGTTGCGGTGTAGTTCATGCTGATGGTAAAGACCTCCCCTTCCTTCTCCACTGCTGCGGCTGCACGGGAAGGGCTGGGCAACTCCACAATGGCCCACACTGTTCCGTCGTTCTCACGCGCAAAACTCTGCGCCGCGTCCACCGAAGTGAAGTAGCGATCTGTGTACACCACCTCCTCGCAGAGGGCACTGACGTTAGCGCAAAACTCAGCAAACTCCGCGGCGATGGCGGTGTTGCCGTCCGCGTTAACGAGCAGCAGGCGGCCGTAGTGCGAGAGGCTCGCGCGCCCTGAGCGACCGAAGAAAGTGGGATTGATGCGCTGCGACTCGTACGTCGCAAAGGCCGACAACGCCAGGTACGCGTCGAGCGTCGGCACCACAACGGAACCCTTCGCGTAGTACACACCAAACATAACATTTGCCAGAAGAGTATGGTTACTCGTGCAGAGCGCGCCGCCACGCACGAACGGGAAGCACGCGGTGGCATCCCCCACCGGCGGGCACGGCCTAACCGGCAGGCGGTGGCCGAACGGGTGCGGACTCGACACGTTCTGGCAGAAGAACGCTGGTAAGAGCGTTGAGAGGTTTGTCGGTGGCGTAGTGGCGTAGTTTGTAGCCGGCACGCTGGTTGTGGTGGAGTACCAGTAGCCCACCGAAAGGAGCAGCGTGAAGAAGCACGGGAGCAGCAACTCTGCAAGCGTCGTTCCAGGCGCCCTCATGCGCTGCAGCCCGATCTTCCACATGAACGCTCCATACTGGATGGACCAACGTGAAGCCATGGTGAAATATAATTGGATCCCTGTTGTATTTTTGTTCCGTTCGGAATTGTTGTTGTTGTTATTGATATTGTTGTTGGTGTTATTGATGTTGTTGTTGATATTGTTGTTGATATTGTTATTGATATTGTTGTTGTTGTTGTTTTTAGCGTTTTCGTTTTGGTTTTTGTTCTTGTTGTTGTTGTTGTTGTTGAAGTTGTTATTGGTGTTGCTTCAGCTGCTGAGTATCAAAGTGCTCTGTTGCCTCCAGCGTCCGCCTCGTGTGCCGCGCTGCCTGTCTAACCACGCCTCCTCGGACCTGCAGGGGAACTGACGCTACTGTCCCTCGTCGGCCCTCGGCTTCTCTTCCGGTGCTGCTACTGATGCTCCTTTGTGACGGCTGTGGCTGTGGGTGTCGATACCGCTAGCCCTTCTCTTCTCTTTTCCTTTCTTTTCTTTATTAACTTCTCTCTTCCCTTGCACCACAAAGAAACAGAGGGAGGGTGAATGACGCCGAGCAGAACAAAGCAAGCAGCACCCCAAAGCACTGAAAATAACTGATCTCAGGGAGCCAAACAGTGTTGACTGCAACGCCGTTACTGTGTGTCGTCAGGTGCCCCACAGCAACANCAACAGCGGCGGCAGCGGCAGTGGCGGCAGCCACCGCCGGAAAAAGAAACGCCCCTCTACTGCTGCGTCAGCGGAACTTCAACATGATGTAGATCAGCATGAAGACAACAATGGCGAACACGAACAGCACCCACATGTGCTTCACGCTCGTCACGCCCGTCACGTCCAACTGCCGCAGCGTCCGTCCAAGCTGCGCGCGCGTGCGCCCGAACACGCGCTCGAGGCCGTCCAACAGCACGTTCTGCCGCCGCACCTCAGCCCCCATCGCGGTGAAGTTGCGCTTCACCACGCGCACATCGCTGAGGAGCGCCCGCATCAACTCGTCGTTCTCCTCCTCCGTCGCCTCGCTGATGGCGCCCGCTGCGGCGCGGCTGCCCTCCGCCTCCTCGTGCGCACGCGCGCGGTGGCGGAACACCGAACTCTGCGGCCGCATACGCGGGATCTAAGAGGCGCGAAACAAAAAAAAAGGGGAAAAGTGAACGCACACGCCCTCCCCCTCTTCCTGCTTACACTGCGGCGAGCGCAAAGAAACAGAGCGAGAAAGAAGGATGTGTATGAGCGAAAAATAGCAGTGGGTAGAACGCACAGCCTACACAGCAGCAGCGGCCTCTCAGGGCAACACCTTCTTTGTGACGGAGTGCGAAGCGTCGCCCACACACGCACACATACACACTCACACTTCTTCGCTCTCCGTGGAAATACGCGCCCCACCTACGCCGAGTCTACCGGCTTTATAAACGCACCACTCTTAGGGCACCGAAGGAGGTGTGCCTTTAGTTGCGGCATTCCCGCCTCGCTCTTGTTGCACCACATACAGCACGGCGCCTGCTCCTCCATGCTCTTCAGCGCCGCCACGTCGCGGTTGAGCGTGACGCAGTCATTGCGCTCCAAGTCCTCCACCACGCGGTCCGCCGGAAGAAAGAAGGGTGTGGCGAAGGTGTTGTAGTGCTTCTTCGACTTCAGGCAGGGGCTGTCGAAGTCTAGAGAAATGAGGTGCATGTGCAGTTGCGGCAGCGACGGCAGCGCGTGAAAGCCAGTGGCGAACGCCAGCGACGCGTACTTCTTCTCCGCCACGCCTGTCCGCAAGAACAGCACGTACCGCTCCGCCACGCCCATCATGTGGTGCAGGAGCGGCACGTGCGCCGCGCGCAGCGAATTGAGCGACTCAAGCGAGAGATCCAGCGGCAGAATGAGGCAGTGCATCCGCGACTTGGGATAGGCGTCGTTCACGACAATGCACTGTGGGTCCTTGTAGAGCACCACACTGGCACGCCCCCCTTCCTCGCCCGGGCTGGGCAGGGGATACCGCTTGAACGGCGCCGCGTTGTTGTGTGTGTTTGGTCCCCGCAGCGCATCCCGCACAACTTTGCGCAGAAACGGTAGCCGTGTTCGCGGTCCGCTGCCAACAGAAGCCGCGCCGTGCCTGTTCGCTGCCACCTGGCGGAGGGGAGTCAGCCTCATGCCCGTGGTGGCGGTTGTGCGGGGGTACAGGCAGCACACCCACGTGTCACGGCAGAATAACGCCTCGTCACCGAGTTGCGGCGTGTTGCCGAGCTCCTGCTTCCTTCTTTTCCCAGCACGCCCGCGGCCTGATGGCAGAGGGGGAGAGCAGGCTGAGAACGAGGAGGGGAGGTATGAAGGAGGAAAATAGGAAAGGAAAGAAAAAAACGAGATATGAAAGGAAATAACGAAAAAGAAAGCAATTACACTGGCATGGTTACGCAGCAGTGAAACACATGGTCTTTGTTCTGGGCGCCAGATATACACATACATGGGCACACACAGACATATATCTCTCTCTCTTCAAGTGACGATGGGCGTACCCATGCGGAGGTCAATGTGGATCATTCCCCCTCGCTCTCCGTCCCGGCGACTCGGCCACACAAGAAATACACCTTACGGCTATTTGCCTACAGTACGCGCAACACAGGCCTCATTGGGCTCATCCATATCTCTTCCCGTTTCCGTTCACAGCTGCGCTCCCCCACATGCGCAGAAGGAAGAAACAACCCCCTCCCCTAAAGAAAAAAAAAAAGAACACGGAGAGAAACATTTCCAACCTCTTACATGCAGTAAAAGAAAGCCAGCAACCACATGGAAGCACCCGTCGTGACGGCACTAATCGCGAGCGTCACGACCCAGCCCCCGATAATCTTCGCGACGATACCCCACGCCACGCCTTTGGCCCGCGCGTCAAGGACGCCGCAGCCGATTGCGGCGCCCACCTGCGACTGCGACAGCGACACAGGGATGCCGATACCGGTGAGCACCATGGTCACAAGCGTGCCGCCCACCTGCATGCACCACCCACGCGCCGGTGTGACGGTGACCAACTCCACCCCGACTGTCTTCATCAGTCGTGAGCCTAGGGAAAACATGCCGATGGCAATACCGAGCATTGCCGGCAGCACCGCCCACGCGCTGTCGAAGCTTCTCTCGTTGAGCTCTGAGACCGTGAAGGTTTCGTACAAAATGACGAAGGCCGCCGTTGCGTTTGCACCGGCAACGGCGCCGTGGACGAAGCTCGACATGCTGCCTGCGACAACCTGCAGGGACGTATAGAGGTACTCCGCGCGTGGGTTAAACGGTTTAATAAGCATCCCGCCAAAGCGTATCGGCTGCATTGGGTGGTTGAGACCCCAGTCACGCTCAGCGAACTCATCATCTGCGTTCACCGAGAGCGGTGACATGGCGGATGTCGACTCCTCTCCCCCCTCAGCGTCTGTCGACGGCGTGCCGTACGTTGGGAGGGCGGGCACCATCGCGAGGGCGTGCATCTCTTCCGCCTCGCGGTGGGGGCCGGGTAACGTCGAGCGGCGCGTCTTTGGTGCTGGCCGCACGGATTGCTGCGGAAGCAACTTCAGTTCAGGTGCTTCTACTGACGACAAGAGAAAGCTACTCGTTTCTTGCAGCAGGGCCGAGATATTTTGCTGCATTCGCACATCTTGAGGCCGTTCAGAGTCGCTGTCGGAAGAAGACGTGTCGACGGAGCCTACAAAGAAGGAGGGCCGCGAGGGTTCCTCGACGGAGACGGCAGAGTCGGTAATGTCTGCACCAGCAGCAGCAGCAGCAGCAGTAGACGGCAGCACTTCCTCTGCTTCAGTGCGGAGCACATCTGCCTCCCACACAAAAGAAGTCTGCTCCCACGCCTCCTCCGCAAGCCGTGGGAAAACGACAGAGGACGCGGTGCAAGACGCCAGCACAATGAGTGCGAGCAGTATGAGATACTGCGCCCACAGGGGTAAGGCCCTCGCGATTGTCACGGAGAGAATCGGCGGCTTTTCAATCACGATAAACATCAGGTCGATAAGCAGAGAGAAACCAAGACAGTATGGCAGGGAACGCAGTGCGTATTCAAATGATTTGCCTTTTACCTTCAAGATGCGCTTACGCATCAAGTAAAATATGCCTGCCGTCACAGCGCCAGCCGCGATGGGGGCCAGAAGCCAGGACAGCACAATCTTCACCACACCACGTGCCTGCACGTACTCGAAGGACCCACTGGAGAAGAGGGCGAAGCCGAGGATGGACCCGACCACCGTGTGGGTGATCGACACCGGCAGCCCAAACACAGTCGAGAGGTACAGCCAGATCGCCGCTGAGAAGCTTGCGCATGTCATGCCGATCAGCACCATGTCGCGATCGATGGCAAACAAGGCAGGATCGACGATGCCGCGGCGAATGGTGTCGCTGACGCGCCCGCCCATGAAGGCGGCTCCGAGAAGCTCGAACACGGTGCAGTAGATGATTGCCTGGCGCATGTTAAGTGATCCGCTCCCCACTACCATGGCAAAGTTGGCACTCAAATCATTTGCCCCAATGCCAACACCGCAGAGGAAGCTGCAGAGTGAACAAATACACACAAGGGGGAGGGAGCGGTTAAGCGGGAGATCACACGTTGGGTGCATTGCGGCCTTTTTATCCACTATTGATATTGTCAACTCTGTCGATGCCACGTGTTACTCTCTTGGGAAATTAATGAATCTGTGTCACAGACAGACTCCTGCTACAGCAACTCAATGGTGCCTAATTGTGATGAGAAAAGGGAGAATGGAAAAGAGAGAGGGGGGGAGAGAAAGAAAGAGGGAGAAATAGAGAGAGGCACGCCATACGATGGGTCCAGCAATAGTCAACGACAAAAAAATGCTGCCAACAGCATTACACCGCTGCACCACACATCTGTCTGTTGTGTGTGGGTGTGCGTGCGTGTTTTCAAAAGAGTACGGGCTCAAAACATCAGAATCTGCACCGTCTTCAGTGTGCAGCTGTTCCTTGCATTCCCTCACTCTATTGTCGTCTTCTTTCAGTGGCTATAGACATCGAGAGTAAAATGAAACATCACCACTCAAAAAGGCGGGCTGGGCAGACCATTTGGGACCCCCTTGCGCCTCCTCTCTCATCCTCTAATCTTCTTCCATATCCTCCTCATCATCAGTGCCCTCCGGCCTTGGCGGGGGCGGTGCGTATTCCAGCTCGTCGTCTACCGTTCCATCGCGCTGCAGCAGAAGTTCGACTTCGGGGTATTCGACGAGGCACCGCGGTGGCAATTTGGGCGCGTAGTTGACGCCCTGAAGGTTCTTGAGCCCTGTGCCGATGTAGACACTTTGGAACTGACTGCCAGGCTGACCTGACTCCGTCACTGCGTACGTGAAGGCACCAGGCCAGAGGCCGGAGCGGGCAACATATGTGCGTGTATTGCTGCTCTCATTATGGAACGCCTTGCGAAAGCTCCACGCAGGTATCTGACTACGGCTATGGCACGTGTACCTTAACGGTTCGTCGCGGCTCACCTCACAGAGAAAAGGGTGGATCTTTTCCGAGTGATCAAAACCGGCCTCATTCCCTTCTCCATCATCTTGCATATCTTCCTGTGCAGCATCTGACTCGGTTGCGACGCTTCGGCCTGTGAGTAGCAGTGTTGGTGCAATGTGCACCCAATACTTTCCCTGGAGTAGCTCGTCATCACGGTAACCATAGAACCACGACTTTACCGGCTCAATTGCCTCGTTATCTTCTTCATCTGGCACCTCCTGTGGGTTGAGCGGCGGCAACGCGGTGTACGCTGGCACGGTGGGTGGAGGCGGCAGCGGGTTGCCGTCGTCATCCTCCTCCTCCGGCACTGCCCCCTCCGTTGTGAACATGTCAATCGGTGCCACTCGGCAGTTACAGCTGATGCGCGCGATCTGCGCCCGCAGATAATTCATCTCCTTGCCTGGGAACCGCGGGTGGGAGTCGACGGGGCTCTCCAGGTCCCCCGTGAAGCCTCGGCGGATGAAGCGTGCGGCGATGATTTGGTTCGGCGTCACGTCTGGCAGCCGCGTCCACTTCGTCGGGTCCGCGGTGAGCGCGGTGTAGTAAACCCACTCGTTGAGCCCAGTTCCGGCCGGCTCCTCCGCGGTGTCGGCGTGCATCTTCGCCCCGTGTGCGTAAAGCACGTCGGCGACGTTGTCGATGGGCATCCCTTCCTCCTCCTCGTCCTCCGCGATTTCCTCCTCCTCTTCCGGCAGGCGGCTCGGGTCGATCTTCGTCTCCACCACGTAGTAGTCCGCACCGCTTCCGAAGATCTTGCCCCAGAACCGCACGCTCGCCAGCGGCTCCGACTTGATCAGCTGCTTCATGCCAACAACGAGACGGAACGCCTCCTCCGACGGCAGCCCCTCGCCGACTGCGTTGAAGACAGCCTGCTCTGCCACCACGTCACTGACCTCGCCGATCAGCAGCTCCTCCTCCTCCTCTTCATCCTCCACCGGTGGCTCCTCGTCCTCCTCGAGCGGCTTGCGCTTCGGTTTCGGAGGCGCTAGCGCAGTGCCAAAGCTCGACGCCCAACGCAAGTTCTCCAGCGCGTCACATGGAACAGTGTTGACCACCTTCGGGCGGTGGTCGGCGTAGATGGTGGTGGCGCGCGGCGGAACGGCACCCCCGGTCTGCACAGTGAATGAGGCGGGGACTATCGCATCCAGCGCGCTACCCGGGTGCTGCTGGACAACCTGCAGCAGGACCTTCTTCATGTGGGTCCACATCGGTGAATCACGGATTTCATCGTCTTTAAGTCCTGTCATGATGAGAGTTCGTGACCGGTATCTTTGTGTGCAAAAGCAAGTGTAGGTGGTGACGAGTACTCTCCTCCTTCAGCTACAGTAAGAGAATAGCAATGAGGGAAAAAAGGCGCAGTTACTTATTCGTTGTTCTTTTCTCTTGTCGTCGTCGTCTTCCTTCCCTGCGGCTCTTTACAGTTTGCACTCATAGCGATAAAGCAAGAAGTATGAAGTCAATCAAAAACAAAAAAACCAGCGACATGTGTGAGCTGCCAACAATACACGCACAGACACACATAAGAGACCCTTTGCCGATACCACCTCGGCCTCTCACCAACCTACGCACTCACACACACACATGTATATGTATATATATATATATATATATATATATATATAT